TCATCTCGAACCCTCCCTATTTATCCGGGCTTGGGACCGGCACTGGTTGAAAACCAAGTGGCTAGGTTAAAACTGATCCTTTGATCAGTACACTACTCGAAACACTGTAACCCATGAAGCATTCCACAAACGTAACTATTCAGTGATCTATTCAGCAAATAGCAAATTCAAGCGATCAATCTGAAGTATTTTTGCGAAATGAACTAAACCATTCGAATATAATCGCTCATAACTAGCATAATTAGATCAGCTCATAACTATGATATAACTTCTCTTTAGCAATGGATGAACCAGGACAATTTGGTGTATGTTTAAACAATTCGCAGTGTCGTGTAATCTCAATCAGTGCACAGGTATCACATTCATTGCCCACTTAATCAAGCACCATTCACTCCTCTAATCACTCCTTTCTTCAATCACACATTCCACATCCGTAACGCTTCATCCAGTGCATAATTTCATCAGCTAACTGTCAATAATCAATAATCATGATCCAACAATATAAACCGATGCTCAATCAACATCCCTTTCTCATTTAACCACTAACATTTAACGTTTTCTGTGAACACAATACAAAAAGTACCACACCAAGCTACGTCAACTGCTAGCTAGGTAACCGAGAATCCTCTTGAATTGCACTTGCAAATAAATACGAAAAACAATTTCATTCGCTCCGACTGCTCGAAAGTATTTATTTGCACTGTTCAACGTTAATACCAAACATTCTCACAATCTACGCATGCCACTGTCTTTTGAAAACATATAGCAGCAAGCAGCAGCAGCAGCAGTAAATAACCACTACAGTAACTAAAGATGAGAAACCAATCACAGCCACACATATTACTACGTAAATCATTGTGAACACTATTAACGTGGTGAATAGTTTTGAGAGAGAAAACTAAACAATGGAGAGTCGAACGACAAAGGGATATGGAGATACGATTGCTGAGGCGAGATGAGATTATCAGAAACATATCCATACATCCATGCAAACTAAATCAAATAAATGTACACGCAACAGCACGTAATCCGCCGTATAAGAACGTTCACACTAAAAAATACTTCCTTACAATATCTAAAAAATACAAAAAACACCTCAAAAATTAGAAAGTACCCCCTAACCAATCCAAAATAAAAACAAATTTGATCAAGTAAGACATTCAGTGGACGTGCGGTAAATGCTTCGGTTGCACACTTCGCCACAACTCTCACTGACTGCACTCTAACCTATCGCTGACCAAAACTGCTGCCTGCCTGCGTGCGTGCTTATGACCGTAAACTGAAGTGAAGAACCCTAACTAATAGAGTTTAAGTGGTGTGCGCAGTTTAGCATGAATTAAAATCGAGAAAAATATTTGCGGTAATAAATGCTACTGTCGAATGCAGGCTTGAACTTAAAACTTAAAACATTAAGCAAATAATCTACAAAAATTCACTGAAACACACAAAACACACACACACACATTACGGTGGATAACTAACTGAAATTAATTTCTCGTTTCCAATTAATTTCTCAATTTAAGGATATCTGATAAATTGGCAAAAAGAAACTGAGAAATAAATGCTACAAAGCCTAAGCAAACAGCCAAACAAGCAACTCATCGATGAATATTGCAACGTTCGTTTCAATTATAGGTGCCACTATCATGGGCCTTACCGCTATACGGTTATGTGATGCCATTTATTGTTACCGTAACGCTGGCAACAAATTCATTCATTGTGCTGGTTTTATCGAAGAAAGACTTACGTACCCCGACCAATTATGTGCTGCTGGCAATGGCTCTTTCGGAGCTACTCACTGGTCTATCGTGCTTTCCCTGGCTGCTCTATTACTACACTTTCCATGGTAATAATCCGTTCCGTTTATTCCCTCACAAAATACTATCAGTGATAAGACACGGCATCACTCCACTCCCCCCCCGGTCCCCGGTGTGCTCATCAACTGATAAACCAAACTGCTCAAATAGATATTTTTACCTCCCCGCACCCCTCGCTCCTTTCCTTCCGATGGACAAGTTATCACCAAGATAGAAGTAGACCCGCACTCTCCAATAAGTATCTGGATCACTTCGGTGCTGCACTCTTTATCCATCAAAGAATAAGCAAACATCTGGACTGGTATCTTATTTTCCCGATAACGTAATATAGACTAAATAATATCGCAGAGTATCGGATAATCGCCCAATGTGATTATTTTATCATAACCAGATATCATTATCACTATACTGCTAGCATAATCATTGCTTGATGCCAAAAACTCACACTGAATTGCAAGGTTTCGAGACCGATCAAGAGAGTGGCCTACCAGCGTTCTGGTGCACAATGTTTCCGTATATGGCCTTTATATTACCGTCCATTTTTCATACTATTGCAATCTGGTTGACTGTTTACTTGGCTGTACAACGCTATATCTATATTTGTGTTCCAACTTTGGTGCATGGTTACTGTACGATAAGAAGGAGTAAACAGGTAGGTGTTATTTATCCGATTATTACTATCATTCAGATATATATATATCCTCGCTGTGTGTGTATGTCTAAAGAACACTTACAAATGCTGAATGCACCACATATCTTACATTCGCTATTAGTGATAAGACTGTTAAACGATACTGCTCACGCAATGTTTCAAGACCTCAAGCTCACCAATTTACAGCCTGCTCAGCACTGACTGAGTCAAGTTCGTTCGAATCTTATTCGTGACGAAGATCCTCATCTAAATCCTCATCTAGCTAGCACTATATTGATTTCAGGTAATCCTGATGATTTGTTTTACGGCTGTCTGGATATACGCACCCGATACGTTCGCCACCTATAATCGCTCATTAACAGAGTATGATCATAAACTGAACAGTGAGTTCTTGCTTGCAATTTCCTGCACTCTCTACATTTTCCACTCGATTGATTACTCATAATGTCAAACTGAGGGGGGGGGGGGGGGGGAAGGGGTACGAAATGACGAGTTACATTTGCCGTTTCGATGTGACAGTGTTGTGCTTGTTGTGTTAAGCCCACTTTTTGCAGCCAGTCACAAATGCTGACATCCATTTTGCTCTAACGTAAGATAACTTCTTCTGAGCCAAATATCCGACATATCCAAATATCAGTGCTGAATGAAACTCTCTTCAATAGGTCGTTTCTGAATTTACTTTTTAAAAAAAAGTAAGTAAGTATTATAACATTTTGATGTGCAAAGTGCGCATGAAAGAGTTCATGATCAGTCAAAAGAATAAAGCAACAGGAACAATAAAATTGTGTGTTCGTATGCGTACATGGTTTATTGGTGCACTCGGTGACGACGTTTATTACTTCATGGTTTACGGCTTGCACACCATGTTTGTTCATACTCTACCGTGCATTCTTCTGGTCACCTTCACCTGGTGGTTAATCCGTGCTATACGAGTGGCTGACAAGAGACATGCAAATCTTATGACTATGTTCGTTATCTTAATATTATTACTCTTAATTAGATCATTACTATTTACTGTATCTGGCCTGCTCGCCTAGCCAGCGGGGTGGCGTGAATTAAGGCTAAAACAATGCGCCGCACGGAAACATTGCGAGCATTGTGGCCTGCAGCAACTTTATAAACATTTGATAGCCTGACCGATCCAGGTAATCCAGGTAATTTATTGTATCATTTACTGATCAAGCGAGTATCGAAACCTGCCTTTAAGGTCCTCTCAACACCGTAAATACTCCGCACTCAGCGTTGATGTGAAGACTGATTCGGATACAAAGAATAACGATAACAACAATAATAAGGATCATCAAAATAAAAAGCGTGAATTGCGTGTTTATCGTATCAAAGCTGGATTATCCGAATCCAAACGAGTTCAAGGCCTTAAACAAGTCAGCCCATTTACTTTATCACAACAAGCATCCACTGATAATATCATTATCCTTATCAGTATCATTGCAGAATACACGTATGTTAATAGTGGTAATACTTCTATTCCTAGTAACTGAAATACCGGCTGCTTTAATATTCGCCACTCATGTTGGTGCTGTTGGATTGCACATTGAAGCCATTCTAAAGTACTACGGTCTTATCAATAAACTACTCATAGTCAGGTAACTTATTTGAGTAATTAATCTTAATTACCTTAATTAATCTTATTAAGATCACAATGATTACCATTACAATTATACTAAATGCGATAAGCAATAACCACAGTAAAACACTTCTAGAAACGTTCTCATCGTTATTTCCTATCCGTTTCGATTTGCCATCTACTGTGGAATGTCTCAACAGTTTCGAGAGGTTGTCCAGCAGATGTTCACCACTAAGGTTTACTATTATCATTAAAACTATTACCTCAGTTCATATTATCACAATACCATTAAAGTCTTATCAATATGATTAGTTTGAAAGTTAAAAGCAATCACCACCATCATAACAGTATTACTATCAGTTCAACACTACTACTACTGTCATGATAACTAGCTGAAATGATTATGTTCAGATATTGTTCTGGAAGAGTGCTGCAGATCAAAGGATAATCAGCACAGCGGCTTATCACGCTCGTCGCAGTTTGATTCCAGACAAGGAAATTTGCGATGATAAAAGGTTATTAATGACACTCTTCAATCAGAATCGCCATCTCACAAACTCACCATAACTAGACCACTAAAAAAGATAGATGATCATCCACTCGAAACACAAATATAATTATATTCAATACTGATTGTTGTTTTTAAATGTGTGTGTGTTAACATCTAATACCCTTTGCCATATCGCACACCAAGAAAGCATTTCATCAAGAAAATAGAAATGCTTGCAATCAGATAAAGTTACTGGAGACAGTGAATAATACTGATGGTATCCAACTGACGATCGATTGGAATTCTGACATTCGGATTCCGACCGAACTATCGGCAAGATCGGTCGGAAGTCGGACTGTCGGAAAGATGTGCATTCGATTCCGAACCACGTGAAATTTCGCTTGGATGTCATCGCTAGTGAATGATAGTAGAAGCATCGAATAAAAGTCTGTAATAATAATGCTTGTTCAATTGCAAATCTACGCAGATCGATTCTAGATAAATGAGATGAACGAAAATGGGCCAAATATCACCAAATTTTCGGAAACTTTTTCAGCTGGACGATGTTGAAGTTATGCATGCATCAAAAGGAGTTAAATAAGCCAATCTCGATCAATTCGTTCGAAAATCAAGTAAATCAACACACTTAAACTTAAACTATCACTCAGACCAAATAGACCAAAAGCTTAAACCAAAAGTCTTACAATCAGCTCTATATGAGGTCAAATATCTGCATCCATTAACAGTGATATGCTATAATCCATATGGTGCAGGCTAATGGGGAGCATACATCACTTTTCTTCGATTAAAATTGATTTACGACTAACAACAAAATCAACTTAACCAAATGCCCAACCAAATAAACAAGCAAATCAGCATGCAAAAATACTGCAATCAATGATGATTTTTTGCGTTATAATCAAATATCTATTGCAGTTTCTTGTCTTGCGGTCGTCTTAATACAACTGAAGGCACTTTTTCGGATTATACGAGTGGCAATGAGATATAACCACATTTATCCAGCTTCCACATTCAGCCAGATCCAATCCAAGCGGACATCAACGGATGTTTGCATGGATAACTTACTGCTGATTACAGATGAGATTTTTTTAGGGAATATTCTTGCGTGTACCTACCTACATAATCATATGTATGTATGTATGTATGTGTGTATGTATGTATGTATTTATGTATGTATGTATGTATCGATATGACTACTCAATTCTGCAATGCAAACTGATCAATTGATCAATTGATCAGTATGATGATTATTGATAAACGTGTCATTGCTATCAACAGCAACGGCATACAATACGACAAGTGTATAAACGCATGTATTTCAGCCCAATACAAGCCCCAACCTAAACCCGGTCAGGCCTGAACGTGAGTCTATTAGTAATCCTGAATCTAGACTTGAATCTAATTCTCGTTTCACTATTTCTTTTCAAAACAATCTTTTTGAGGCGAAATTCTGCGCAGGCTCTTCATAGGTCAAAGGGCAGTCTGTTTCTTTGAGTAGTTGAAAGAATGTGCGAATTTCCAAAAGAAAGCCAGCAAAACTTGTCACGTTGATATATATGCAAATAAACCGTATTCATGTTAGAGGAATGTGTGTATACGTTGATTGTATCCTATTTGATGAATATATTATGATAAAGCAATTGAAATGAATAAATGATATTCTTTCACGTGAACCACAATTCAGAAATCACATCAACAATTCAGAAATCACCTCAACAATTCAGAAATCACATCAACAATTCAGAAATCAAATTCAGCTGAGTAACGTTCCATTGAATACTATCGATAAAACTGAACTTAATGCACACCAAGCGGCGCATCATCAATCGTTTTAAAAACCAAACCACGCACCTACCTACATATTATTGAATAAACTTGTTCTTGGTATGGCAACCACGACGGTCAACCTCCTCCTCAAATGCAATACAATACTATTTGCGGCGGTTCTATCGATGCTGCTCTAGCTCACTTATTCAAAATTATGTTTTAGTGGCCATCTCAGATTTACCTACCTACTTTCATGTTGTTGAGCCTACGGTTAACCTCGAATATGCACAATCCCTTTGCCGTGCCCATCATCCTAAGTCCTTAAGGTGTGCAATACAATAACAATGACGAATGAGTACGTTTAAAAAAATTCAATGAATATAATGAATAAATCAATCATTTAAATTGATCAATCCCAGTTCGGCCATATATATAAACATCTAACTCAAATTCATCACTCATCTACGTTACATAACTACCCTTGCTTGCATTAAGCACTCACCCACCCATCACTATAATTTAATACCATTCAAGCATGAATTTCATTTGCTTTACATCCTCTCATATCTCTCATATCCACTCTGATACCATTCAAGTTTATTGTTATTGTTATTCCTATTATTAAAACGTATTTTTTGAATTGACTAATATTGCTGCTCTGGTTATGCATTTTCAGCAGACATTTTCACTGAAAGCAATTCAAATCACTCTTGTTAGACCCAGCGAATCAGTCAGTCGTCGTTTTATATGGCTCAGATCTAAATGCAATCCAATCCAATCCAATGCCTTTCTTATCCTCTTCAATCAGCAACTTTATCCCGTCTTCTTTCACTGTTCATGTCAGTTCTACTCAATCTACTTGTCATCAGTTGTCCTTTCAAAAGCACTAATACACTAACAACTGCAAAGTTCGCTTCAAAATCAAATTCTTATTCACTTATAATAGATTTGCACATAAGTAGTTCATTAAACACAATCTATTATAATTGCTGGTTGTTTTAATTTTCATATTTCATGTCTGTTGCATTCATTTAATCATGCCTCTCTAGACATCTATGTGCAGCAGCCATCATCATAATCAGGCATCCATCCATCCTATGAATTTGCAAAACTCCATCAAACTGCATGACTACTGCAATAGTGCAACCAAGCAACATCAACTAACTTCCTTGCATGCACCCTTCAACCCACTTATCCAACAACTATACATCCGTTTCGTGCCGTCGCCTCCTTCCTTCCGTTTCTTTGATCGATCAATGGATTCTTTAGTGAATATGAACAAAATCCACACTTTCATTCATTCATTCTCAACTATTAAAACATCTATCTATGTATGTATGCTTCACTTGACATCTAGTTCTTAAGTTAACTGCTGCTACTGCTGCTGCATGACCACTTTAATTACTGCTCATCAAATTCTCACTTTCATTCGCCAAGCCATCCGCCCACCCACCTATCCATCCATTTATCCATGTGTTCCTTCAATTGTCCAATCGCTCGGTCGTCCTTCATTTTTTATATCTATCATCACCTTCCTTATTCGTTTATCTTGATTCATCTTAACTGCCGCCCCTTTCAGGTCCCCTTCCTCCTTTTACTCTCTTGATTTGTCGTCGTCTGCTCTTTTCAAACTAACTGCTGCTGCTGCTGCTGCTACCTTCTTGGTGCATCATATCGCCGCTACCAGTTAGTTGAACACTTCAAATCGATCAATCAGTTATTTATTCAATGCAATTCCTTCCATTCTGTTATATAATTCATTCATCGCTAAACTTTCTTTATTGTTACTATTCATCTTCTTTTTCACATTTACTATTTCACTTCAAATATTTATTTCCATCAAATCCCAAATTTTCTCTCTAATCAAATCACACATTCCTCCTTCACATAGTCTCAACTCCAAGTTAAACTCATCATCTACCTACCTACCTACCTACCTACCTACCTACCTACCTACCTACCTACCTACCTACCTACCCAGCCAGCCAATCAGTCAAGCACTCATCCCTTCAATCATATGCTCGTTCACCAGCTCAATAATCGAATAATTAAAATCTACATATATGTAATATACTCGAACCAATCACCAGAGTACTGTCAAATCATTAAACCATCAATGAAGCAACCCTAGCAGCAGCTGGTTAAGATGAGAAACGTTAGAGATAAAGACGACTATGTAAATGCTTCTAATGAATAATCAATTAATTAAACTTCACCAATCGATTCCAATTGGATAATCAACTCTCTGATCATATCACTTCAATTATAATCTCTATTATTACTTTTACTTCCATTACATTCTATTGCTTGTGTTCTCTATCTCTATTTCAATTAGTTTATCGACAGGTTAGTTGCGTGCTTTAGCAATCTCTATGAGCAACGAACTTAATTCAAATTATTTATAACTGAGGAAATGATTACTTCCCGAAAGCAACCGATAAAACTCGTTTCCACATTCACGTTCACTCATTCATCCATTTATTTTCCATGTTTCATTTCACTAACGAATGCTTTCTTTCATTCCGTTTAATTGTACTCTTCATTCGTTCGTTACAAATCAAATCATTAATTAGCTCTTCGATTCTAATTTACTTAATTAATTTACTTATTTAATAACTGCCACTGAGTGAAGTAAGTGTATTCTTTCTTTTGTAAATCATCTAACAAGCTCAACTCGTTGTCTTTGCTGTGCACATACATACATAAATAAGTGCTGCTGCTGCTGCTGCTGCTGCTGCTGATTCTTTTCTCCATTCAATTTTTTCAAAATAAATTCCATTACCATCACATGCACCACATCTCCCTTGAGTATGTATGAAAGCATTTTTCAAAAGCACACATACACACACACATTCCTCCTATCAAACTTATATAAAGTGATTATTGCATAATCTCCTCAATGGAATAATTAATCAATGCGTTCATTTAACTCTAACTAAACGCATTATAACAACAGCAATATATCATTATTACTAT